ATAACAAAATAGTTTATAATTCAATACAAGATTGTTTTCATTCTTGTCGATGTTACATTTATACATAAAACAAACCAAAATGTTTGTCTCACCAGGCATTGCAGCAGCTATGTCACCAGTGAGACTGTCTAAGGCAACACTCCGGGCAGAACCATCAGGGAAGTTTGCAGTTTTTCATGGTGAGCCTTGATTCTTCTTTATAGACAGCCGTATTTTACCTGCTGGAGCATGTTGAAATGGTGATTTCTTCTTAGACTGGGACCAGTTTGTGCTCTGTTTCTTATTTTGGATGTTGCTTACACAGAAACACTTGTTCTTCCTCATTCTTCAGTTTCATCGGTAGATATTTCAACTCCTAGAAGTTCTAGTGCAAGTGCTGGGGTGACCTTGCTTTTGCTCTGGTTGCTCCTAAACTGTGGATCAATTCACCACCTGATAGTCCTACAATTACAGACCTGACACTTTTTACATCTAAGTTAATAAGTTAGCAATTTATACTGGCTTTTAGTTTCTATAGAGTCCTGCTACTTTGATTTCCTTTTGTGTTCTTTCATGCATTTTTGCTTTTATTCTTCTGTATTATGTATATATTTTATATTTTTGATTTATTATTTTGTGCAAATCACTTAAGTCAGTACTTTGCTGTGTTTAACTGCTGTATAAATAAATACTCATTGACTGATTAACTGTTGCTCCAGTTATTACAGATTTAGAGCCTTGGGTACAAAATTGAAGATCTTCACACCTTGTGGGGGCAAATATTTCTGAACTCCCAAAGAAATGAATGAAATGTTTAAAAGTAACGCATACTGCATGAACAACATGACACAAGTAGTAGTGATACAAGAACTTAGAGTATAACTTAGAATATAATTTCAAGGCAATGCTGCAGATGCCAAACACCACAGTCTTACAAATAACTAGTTTTTAATCCACACCCCTGGTCTGTCAATAACAACTTAATGTTGCTGCTGATGTGGGTTGCTTAAACAAAAATAGCTGATAACAAAGGTTTAATTTATGTCCAGCAGATCATATTCAATATTATCCACACATATCTAAAATTGTCAAAATACTAGATGGCTAAAAATCATACAAAGTAGACATATCTCTATTTTATAGAATAAAATAATGAATTATGGATGAAAAAATGTCTGATTTAAAATTCCAGTAATTTTAGCATGGTGCCCCACCTGCCAGCCACCCCTTGGGGTGTCTGTAATTATACCATTACATCATGCTCTACTGTCAGAAATCAAACCCAGTCACATAGAGCCATAGGATTGTGAGACAGAATACTGTATATTGTATTTAAAATGTGAAATTTTGCATTGATGGTTTCAGCCATGGAGACATAGCCAGTTTACAAACTGTAAAAGGAATTTAAAAAAAGTTATATCTACAGTAGCTTCTGAGAACTTAAGACAACATATCTACTTTTTCCAACCACTTCCGCTGATGGCAGATTTTGATACACAGACCTAACTTCCTCAAAATGTCACCACAGCACTTTTTTGATGAGGAGATTATAAAAAGGCCAAATGTATACTTACACATATATTCTGCCATGTCAGGAAAGCCAGGTATTACAGTTTGTTTGACAAATCGTTAAACAAAAGCGCTTGCTGATTTGAGATCATTAAGTAGTAATACTATCTCTGATCTATAAAATGTCAGAAAGTGAAAAGAGCACCATGTTCTGGAGCACAAACCTGGATTTGTTTGTGCAATAATACAGCAAACGTTCACATTTGAGAAACTTGGCATTTTTTACAGATGATACATCTCTTTCGGATGCCTCCTGGGCGCCTTCCTAGGAAGGTGTTCCAGGCATGTCCCACCGGGAGGAGGCCCCGGGGAAGACCCAGGACACGCTGGAGGGACTATGTCTCTCGGCTGGCCTGGGAACGCCTTGGCATTCCCCCAGAGGAGCTGGAGGAAGTGTCTGGAGAGAGGGAAGTCTGGGCATCTTTGCTTAGACTGCTGCCCCCGCGACCTGGCTCCGGATAAGCGTAGGAAAATGGATGGATGGATGGATTTAAGATAGGTCATTCATTAGCATTGTGAACACTGAGTCCCTGCAGTCAAAAAGATTGCTTTAGAAATGTCGTCCTGGTGGATGTGTTCATGTACTGTACTTGGGGCTGTACTTGGGGGAAACCAAAAGTAAACGGCAGAATTTTTAATACAAGAAGTAATTTTCTTTCACATCAATGTGAATATAATACTTGTCATGCCAGTGTTCTGCAACACATTTTGTCTGTCCAGTACTACAGTATACCGTAGCTTACAGCATGTTTCCGTTCCAGGAAGTTTGACTTGACTTGATTTGATTTGATTTGATTTATTCATTCAAGCATGTAAAACAGTTGATATGTCAACACATGTAATTTCACACATATCCAACAATAATAATCCAATATCAATTTACTTATACCTAGTACATGCTTGAACGGAGTAGGAAGAAGTTAGACTTATCTAGTCCTACCCCATGACATCATCTTACAACTTTTAAGTCCTAAGCAATATC